CTTATATTGTATTTCAAACGAGTATTATACTGTATTTCAAAATATATTTTGGCTTGAATACAATGAGAGTAACAAAAAAAAACATATGTAGAATAAAATAAATATCGTTACACAAACTTGTACACTATCCCTTGGTGGCTTAAGTAACCAAGAATGTTACATTTCACATTTACAGAAACAGCAGCAAACCAAATAATACTGACTGTATATTTTACTTACAAGAAATTCACGAAGCACGTAGTATTGTAGTATTGTTCTGCTCACCTACAAAGTCGCTAGGGACAATAATATAACTGTGTATTCCAAGTGTAACTTGAAATCATACTCGATTCTCTCAGTTCTCTTGTTATGCGTTTGTGTATGTATACCTACAACATTACTATGTATGTAATGTACTAGCGTCTTCCAGCGGCCTCGCTCGCGTTCCCGTGGGTAAAAGTAGCCTGTGTGCTATTTCAGACAATAATTTACCCTCGTTCCAAATTTTATCTCGGTCCCTTCAGCCGTTTTAAAGTGAAGGTGTAACAAACAAACAAACAAACAAGCATTTTTTTATGGCATAAGCCGGTAAACGAGCAGACGGATCACCTGATGGTAAGCAATCGGCGTCGCACATGGATACCTGGAACACCAGAGGCTTTACAAGTGCGTTACCGGCCTTTTGGGGATTAGGAGTTTGAGGATCGTTGGGGATTCAAGAATTGGGGAGATTAGGGAAGGGGAGGGTAATTGGGCTTCCGGTAACCTCACTCACACGACGAAACACAACGCAAGCGTTGCGTCACGTCGGTTTTCTGTGAGGCCGTGGTATCACTCCGGTCGAGCCGACCCATTTGTGCCGAAGCATGGCTCTCCCACACACGCATACAAACATTTGCATGTATTTATGTAGGTACATGTGTCATGCTGCTCTCTGGAATAAAGAAAACTCAAAAACTGTATACGTATGTATAGAACATGAATTATAAAATAACATAAAATAACGCGATATAAATAACTTTAAATGTTACATAACATCACGCCTTTTATCCCCAAAGGGGTAGGCAGAGGTGCACACAGAAGTAACACCCACTTTTCACTATTTTTGTTATGATTCCCACATTATAGGGGGTGAGCTTATTGCCATATACCGGGCACAATTCCAGATTCCGTGCTACTACTGAGAATTTTTAAAAACCCAGTAATACTTGTCCGACCCGGGAATCGAACCCGAGACCACTTTCCCGGCAGTCGCACTTGCGACCACTCGGCCAACGAGGCAGTCAATTATAAAATATCTATAATATTTATTATTCCAGTTATATTTGTTGTTGGTGTCGTTGAGAAAGGAGTATCGAGTTTTGAAGATATTATATAACATCACGCCTTTTATCCCCGAAGGGGTAGGCAGAGGTGCACATTATACCACTGTACAATGTAACACCCACTTTTCACTATTTATGTTATGAGTCCCATGTAATAGGAGGTGAGCCTATTGCCATATACCAGGCACATTTCCAGACTCCGTGCTACGACTGAGATTTTGAAGATATTGTTAATTGTAATATTGTTTTTAAATTAAAATCCTAACATAATTAGTGAAAAATTAAACTATACTGTGGTTCATGTGTAATACTGTTACTAGACAATAATAAAAGATTTTTTTAAATAAATTAAGTACATAATTTAATTATTTTCAACTTACAATACACGATCAACAATTCACTCATACCTACAGTCACGCAATCTTTCCATAATTAAAATCTATAATAAATACTAAACACTATAAATGAATTCGTATTTACAAACATTCTTTATCAATTTTTGTTCAATGATTTCATTTTCGTCTTTAAAAAAAAGGTTTCCTGTTTATTAAAACCTTTTTAAACAATTTCCAAAACCTCTAATATGGATTGACCTTTCGACTTGGACTAGAATAAGGATTATATGGCTTTTGACCTCCCCGTCTATAAGGTCCTGGAGGACCATACTCTACATGATGGTGATCGTGATGACCATGGTACTCCGGTTTCTCCTTGATGTAGCTGAGGAACCAGCCAAAGATGTAACCAGCTTTGTGGAGGAGCAGCCAGAACGCAAAGGCATATATCAGCTTGAGGATGAAGATCTTCTTGATTACCAGGTCTACGAAGTATACTGGAAAGAATAGGAAAAGATTGTTAGCTTGGAGCATTTCTTATTTTTTTTATTTAGGTATTAATGGACAATACATCACATGAATGATAATTTTCTTTATGCTCTTAAGAGCATTTATAAATAACGCGATATAAATAACTTTAAATGTT